GAGCAGAGGAAGATGAGGGCAGAGGAGCTGAGGCTGAGAAAAGAGGAGGAGGCTAGAAGGATGGAAGAAGAGGAAGAAAGGAGGAGAGAGGAGGAGGCTGAGAGACAGAGAAAAGAGGAGGAGGCTAGAAGGATGGAAGAGGAGCAAGAAAGGAGGAGGCAAGAGGAGGCTGAGAAAATAAAAAGAGAGGAGGAGGAAAGGAAGATGCATGAGGAAGCGGAGAGGATGAGAATAGAGGAGGAGAAAAGAAAGGTTAGGGAAGAGGAGAGGAGGAAAGAAGAAAAACAACAAATTAAAAAGCTGGAAGAGGAAAGGAAAAAGCAAAAAGTGCAGCATCAACAGCAAGTAGATAGGAGACAGCTAGAAGAGCAGAAGCAAAGGGAAGAAGAAGAAAGGAAGAGACTTGAAGAGGAAGAAAGGAGGAAGAGAGAGGAGGAGGTGGCAAAGGGGCAACAGGAACATGTTGAAGCAGAAAAGCGCAAAAAGCAAAAGGAGGAAGAAGAGGAAAGAAATAAAAAGGAAGAACAGAAACTAAGGTTGAGAGAGATGGAGCACAAGAAACTACTGGAATTGGAGGAGCAGAAGAACATATTGACAGAAGAGGCTGCTGCGAGCTATGATGAACAGGTGAGGAAGCGAAGAGCGGAGGAGCAGCGTTGGAGGGAGATGGAGGAACGACAAAGACCTTTCACCTTCAAGGTTTCCTCTGGAGAGAAACAAATTCTCTTCCAGAAGGTCAACCTGACCCCTGTTACACCAGCCTCCAGCCACCAGAGCACAGCTGACGCTGATCAAAGAGAAGGAGCTGCAGCCTCCTTACTGGAAGGACAAGACCCCCCTAACCTTCCAGCATCACCATATGTCCCCCACACAGCTATCCTGGTGACAGGCGCCCAGCTCTGTGGGACAGCTGTCAATTTAGACCAGATCAAAGACCCTGCATGCATGTCCCTGCTAGGTTTAGGAGAAGAAAGAAAGGCCCAAGGAACACCTTCTGCAAAGAGCAAAAGCTCACCGGACCGCAAGTCAGTGAAATCCAAATCGCTCAGTGAGTCTTCATTCTCCACGGATCAGTCCAGCTCAGCCGTGCTAGCAGAGTGGGCGAGCATCCGCTCAAAGATATTTAAGGGAGTAGAGGAGGGGAAATATGACGAGTACCCAGACCCTCCAAGCAGATTGCAGCTGGGTAGTGAAGAGCAGGCTCCCTTCTCACACACCAACTTGAGAAAAACAATGTCCGCCAGTGCCAAGTTCTCCATAACCCCTGCAAAGAAAAAGTTTGGCTCAAACAGAAACTCTGAGGTTTTAAGTGCAGATAAGGTTGGAGAAGAAGAAAAGGTTCTATCTGATAGTCCCACAGCAGCCACTTGGTCTCCATCTGGTAAACCTCACAGCCTGACAAGCAAAACTGTCTGGGCTGTAGAGAGAGGTTCAGAGGAGTGCATGTTTGCCAAAGACCTCCCGTCTTTCCTGGTTCCTAGCCCTGGGGACAGACCTGAGGGCTCCGATGTAAAGAGTCGGCTTCAGTGCAAGACAGAAGAGGATGAGGCAAAAGCGCAGGATGGTGAAGATAACCCATCACCTTTTGGAATTAAGCTGAGAAGGACTAACTACTCTTTGCGTTTTCACAGTGAGCAGTCCACAGAGAAAAGAAAGAAACGCTACAGTGCTGGAGACAGCTTTGACGGCGTCCCTTCACCTCTCACCCCAATTGAGCCAGACTCTGATGCCTCCTCTGTCTTTTCTGACAAATCAAGTCCTACATCACCTCAGAAAGAAGGATTAGTAAGCAAGTTTTTACACACATCAGCCTCTCCTGCCACAACCTGCGGTAAGCCGGGCAAACCTACCAGCCCCACTGCTCACAACGAAAGAGAGAAAGCCCTTTTCAAGCCGCCACTCTACCGAAGACCAGCAACATCACCCAAACCCTCTGCATCCACCCCAACACCTCCTCCTTCTCCGCTGCCTAAAGTACCCCACAGGTTCCCCTGTGACGATGTGATCCAGAGGACAGGGAGCCCAGATTCATCTGTACAAGAGCAAACAGATAGAAGCGAGGAACCAGTGGCCCAGCTGCACAGAGGGAGCTACATTCATGTCCAAGGAGAGGAGGAACCAAAGGAGAAGAGGTCTTTCTTCCCTTCCATCAACATCCCGTGGAGAGAGAAGTCAGATAGGAAGGCAGAGCTCATCAGGCGAGGTCAGTTTGGCCATAACAATGAGTCAGCTCTAGATTAGATTTCCATGCCACATTAATGCCAGCTTGTTCAAGGCTCTTAGCCCAAAGTATTTCCTGATCTTCATATAAGTGCCTATAAAGTGTTTTTAGTTGTAAGAATAAAAGGTTTAGTCAATTCACTATAGTTATAGTAACCTTCAATTGTCTTTGTCTCTGCAGAAAAACCTTCCTTACAGGCCAGACACTCACTGGACAGTGCAAAGGTCCAAGAAAAAGAAGCTGGGCCCTTATGGATAACTCTGGCTCTGCAGAAGCAGAAAGGTTTCAGGGAGCAGCAGCAGACCCGCGAAGAGCGTCGAAGCCAAAGAGAAGCCAAGCTAGCAGAGAAGCAAGCCAGAGAGAGGCACGGTGTATGTGCTGCAGGTCCCCATTCAACAGTTACTCTGCCTAGCATAGTCTACAGTCCTTTGAAATATTCTCATGCCTCTTTGTGCAGATTGGGCTGGTGAGTCCAACAGGGGGCAAAGAGAGCTGGGGCACCAGTCCCTCCTTTAAACCTCAGATACCTGGGGAGCCCAAGAGACCCGACAGCCTGCTGGGACGGCTCGAGCGCAGAGATCCTCTGAAAAAGGCCAGCACCTTACCGAGCTCAGTCACAGGTAGGCATCCCAATCTACCACTATTAATCATCATTTGATGGTCATCCCATTTTGGATGATGAAAACGGCTTCTTATTGAAAAAAACTGTTCCAATGTAGGTTCATTCATTAGATAACATTTTAAGTTCTCTTTCTTAAGTGTAACTCTATATTTCTTTCCACACAAATGTCACAAACTTGTATTTCATCAGGCTGCTATGTTAGAACACACAGGAGTTCATTGGTGTGACCTTAGATAAGCGCTAGACCAGACTTAGTGTGTGCTGTTGCAAAATGCATCTGTAGTTTTGGATAATTCTGCTTTTCAAAATAGCTTAACTTCAGTCCACTTGGAAACGGATCTTCTTTGAAGATCAAAAATTCAAGTCCTTTCACAGATTTAATTCCTGACCTTGACCGGCTAAGTTAACTCATAAACACACTTTGATCTGAGCCACTCTATTGTAGCTCAGGGTCATAGAGCTGCTGAGAGGAAAACACCAGACAGGGATTGTCTGTATTGATTTTCACATATATATCAATTCGTCTTTGTGTTAAATGTGATATTTGACCAGATTCCCTGTCCTTACTAATTTAAATCAGCCTCATATCATGATGCTACCACCCCGTATTTGGGGTATGTTATTCGTGTTTGCAGGCTTATTTGCATATATTTAGGTGTCATTTGGCTAGAGCATTCTTCCTGCACATATTTTCCATCCCCTACATGGCATGGCATGCTTATGACGAGCTGTAAATGGGTGTTCTTATGGCTCTCTTCTCTTCATGCCACTCCTACTTGAAGATAAGACGTTTATTGTTATTGCATACTGCTGTCAGCATTATAAGAAAATTACGTTGGGCCTTTTGCCAAAAAATAACATGATCAGAGGAAGTAAAAGCAAGTCATAGATTAAACAGCTATACGAGTAAAAGCTGTTAAAGAGTCATTGAAAAGTTGTAAACAAGTTACAAAGTGAACTGTAGGGAAGGAGAAGCAACAGGCGACTGGGCATGAATGAATAAATGTGGCAGAAAAATCTGTATTGGGTGTAAAATATAATAAATGATGGATTACATTTTCCTAATTATATATGTTGTATTAAAAGTTGGAGGTATTTATCTGTCATGGAGGTGGTGTGCAATTTTAGTTGATTTAAAAATTTTAGTCTTGATGTGCGGCTCCTAGGCAGTCTGAGGGGATTATAGGCCAAATGTATTTAATCTCAGATTATTCTCCTGGCCATTGTCACACCCAGTGACTCTTACATGCAACTTTTATGACCTTCTGCTCCTTCTTACGACATCTTACACACCATGGTGTGATGCCATAAGTGAGGCTGCTCTTCTGAACTGGTAGAAGGTCATGAGGAGGTTCTAAGATAATCCAACCTTCCTTACTTTCTTCAATAAGCAAAAGAGCTACAGAGCCCTGTCGAATATGTGTGTGCGGTCCTTTTAGTCCAACAGACATCCTTGGTGATGTGGATGCATAGAAGCTTATAGCTGGGGATCTTCTTCTCTTTTCAGTAGCTAACATTGCAAGATTCATCCTTCTGGACTTTCTGAAAGACAAAAACACTCTTTGTTTTTCAATGGTTCAGATTGTTGGTGCTCTTCAGGAAATTCCCCTCCTTTCTGTAGGCTGCCTCATCGGCAGATCAGCACCACGGTTGTTTTATTGCCTGCACACATACCAATGGCGTTTCTTATGCAAACTTAATAGTAGTCATGGATACACATCTCAGAGGCACACAGGTGTTCATTTGATGGTGGAAGATGTGAGTTCCTCATTTTAGTGGCTGGTAGGCAAGTCCGTGGTCCAGCTGGAGATGGTAGAGCTCAGACTGTGGTGGTGCTGTTTGGACAACCGTGTTTAGGGCTGAGGCCTGGCATAGATGTTCGGTTTTTCCTGGGACTCTGAGTTGCTGTGTAGGGTAATGCTGACAGTGTCCTCTGTTGATCCATTGACTCGATAGACCAACTGATGGTGATCCAGCATAGCAGAAGTGGTAGGTTTCATTTGGAAATATTTAAGCATTTCACAATCACAGTAGTGACTGAAATCGGCCTGTAGACATTTAGGCTGCTTACTGTGTTCAGCTTAGGATGAGCACAATGGTTGCTGATGTAAGGCGGCCAGGGTCAAAGCCAAGGTTGAAGATATTTTAAACAGTTCTGCTAGTAGGTCTGCACATGCCTGGAAGACGTGTTCTGGGACGCTCGATACCGGAAGCTGCATGGCACGAGTCAAAGATGTTCTGAACAAAAAAAAAAAGATTTTATTTTGTATTTATTTATTTGTTTAAATCTGAATCTATTAAATGTAGGCTTTTATTCATGTTTCTGCAGACAGATGGCGCTCTGGTGTTAGCTGGTGATGGTATGTTAGCTCCGGTATGTAAACAACAGGGAATCCCTGGGGTGAATCAAATGGTCTGCTCATGGGTTATAAATTTACAAAACTGTGTGCAAAAACTTTCTGTTGTCTTGGATCTTTCAGTCATTCTTGATACAAATGCAGAGACGACCAATTATTTTCCTGTCAGTCTCTGCTGTCCAATCATCCATGTCTCTGCAGTAATCAGCCCATATCACTCTCTAATGTAACAGTGTGATGGGATTCTAAGCCAGCAATCAACACCAAATTTTCTTTGGGGTAATCAGAATAAAAGGGGGTTGAATTAATTTCTACATAAACCTGCTCTACATGACCTTTCTAACACCAGCTATTTTTTCATCTGGGCCACACACCAAGCATCTGCTTTGTGTTGGTTAATCAAATAAAAAAAAATGAAGATTGTGTGTTAATTGTAATGAAATGTGGAATATATAATGGATATGAATACTTTTAAGGCACAACAGATGTTTTGCTCACACTTGATGACTCTTTGCAATTCCAGTTGAAATCTCCGACTCAACACCGTCACCACCTGCTGTCAAGGATGTGTCAAAGCGTTTTCCCTCCAGCGATTCTCCCCAGGTGTCCACAGAGCCGGCCTGGCTGGCACTAGCAAAACGAAAGGCCAAAGCCTGGAGCGACTGTCCGCAGATCATCAAGTAAACACTCGGACGCCATTTTAACACAGCATGCATTGAGAACGCATGCTCCCCATGGAGCCAGAGGACCGCCTTCTCCACTCATGAAAACCCCTGACACACACTGGCTGCTATAACTACCATGTTAAAAGTGTGCTTCAGTTTCAAATATTCAAGTAAAGCTGCAGATATGTGTAAGCGATTGATGAGAGCATGCATATATAGTATCCAATCACACCAATTCTATGTCCCCTAGAAGATAAATTCCTCAGCAGCTAATCACAACCATGGCTGACTTTCACAGTAGGTAACATTTTTTATGATTTTGCAGCTACCATTGTAATAAATTCTATGCTCCATACAGGTAAAGCTCTAGGGATCAGCAGCGCTTTATCAGCAGAGGGTACCCGTCTGAATCGTTTTAAGGGCTACCTGTAAAAGAAAATAGAACCCAGCATGGCTGGTCCTCTGGACAGCTCCTGGAAGTGTTACAGGCACCTTCTCTGCCCTCTTCCGTGTTATTTATGTACAGCAGCAGATTTATCTACACTGGAACTGCATTGTAGCCTTGGTCTAAACCTTGTTTTATTGTAAAAAGAGGGAATCTTGTGTTTTTCTTTATTCTTTTTTTCTTCAAGTCATATTGGAAACAAATCTCACTGTGTCCGTTCTGACTGTGACAAACTGGTTTTTATCCAAAATAACAAACTGGACTTAAAGGGAAGCGTGGAGGACACTGAGGGCTCCAAACAACCACGGCTGTGTAAAAATGGACTTTAGAGACTAACAACACCTGCTACAGTTCTTCTGGCATGTCGTCCTGTAGACTTGCACCTTCTCTTCTTTGATCCATGTGATCCAATCATAGTATTAGAGGCATTATGGAAAAGCAAACTTATTTGTTCTCTTTTCCTTCGGTCATGTGTAAGTATATATTCGCACTGAAAGGAGCCCAGGAACCTGAGTCACTTTGTTTCTAACGTTGGTCGTGCACAATAGTGTGGTGTACGCAGTGTTATCTGTAACAAGAAAAAAAAAAAAATGGAACAATGTTTGGTATTATTTGCACTTTTTGTCCCACTTGGAGATATTCATGAGAAAGTTGTTTAACAGATTCGAAATGTTATGAATAACGTAAATTAAATACTGATGTCTGAACCAAAGAACAGAGTGTTATTTAATCCTCACTGCTGTGGAACTGAATCTGTTGGGAATGAAACAAAAGAGGCATAATTAACAAGAAAAATCAATGTATTAAGAAGTTTACTTTTTTACAGAAAGGTGTTCTTTGATTTTGATAAGTTTTTTTTTTTACTGACAAGAAGATGTGGAATAACATAGAAACTACTGTTCAATAGAGCAAAGAAACAGACAATGAGCTGCGGGGGGATTCAAAGAAGGTTCATAGATACCTGTGTGTTCTATTAAAAAATATCTACACCGAGCATATGAGCAAGAAACTCTCATAATAAAAAATCAAAAACACTCAAATTACAAAATGTGTAGAAGCTGCACACATACAACACTTAATTTAAGGCAGTGTTTCCTGCAAGGCATAGTAACTTACACATCCTGCTGAGGGATGTGGCTTAATACGGCATACAAGATGTAAATTTGCAAACATGGAAATACTCTGAGCTGGTCATTTGGAATCGTGTGCAAGAAAAATGCCTTTAAAAGGAAATTACCCAAAATCTATCAGGACAAGAGCAACTTCTTGGTTCAAACAATACTGATGATTTTTTGTCTTTCATTAGTTTATTTTTAATATAATTTAGGGAAAAAAGTGCCATTCTTCTTTTTAAGCAAAGCTGTATAATCAGTGCAGCTATATGATGACCTCTACACATTAGTAGTCAGGTTCAAACAGTACACATAGTCATTACGGCATCCAATCACAAGAGACTGTTCCCACACGACCGGCGATGAAAACAGTTCCCCGGGCAGCGCATGCGATGCCAGAACACATCCATTTTGTGCGTCCAGGATCCAGACGGTGCCGTCTGTGGAGGCCACGGCCACCAGAGCCCCCCTGCTGCCAACAGCAAAGCCCTCAGACACAAACGGAGTGGCGTACACTTTGCCTGATGTCTGAAAGGTCCAAACAAGGGAGCCGTCGGAGCAGTTCAGACAGTACAGCCGGCCATCATGCGAGCCGCACAGAAGCCTCTGCTGTCCTGGTACAAAGCTCGGGGAGGAGAAAACCGGTGCCTTGGTTTGGAACTGCCACCGCTGCAGGTAAAGAAGAGTCACAATTGTTAGAAAGCGTCAAGAAGTTTAAAGAACAAACAGACATATGTCTCCTAATTCTTTCAGTTGCCCATAGGAAGACATTACTTGGATATAACACCACCGAATATCTTCGGAACAGCTCCAAATGACACAAATAATAACAAGTAGCAACGTAAAACCAAGGGGCCAATGTAAAATAACCGGTGTTCCCCAATAAGTATAATGCATCTATATTTCATAAATTGTTTAATAGCATGCAAAAAGATATATTTAAAGGTCTGGGGACTGTCTGGTAGAGGGACCTTGGTTGCACTTTTAGTGATGAAGAATGGTTGAAAATACTTTTAAATAATGGGAAATACATTAAAGAATCAAGAGAGAAATGTATGCATTATAATATGGCACATAGCTTTTATTTCACATTATCTAGGCCTACTTGGGGATAACTTATGTTGTAAATGTAAAACGGAATCAGGTACTTTTATACATGTGATATGGGAATGTAAATGCATATCACCGTTCTAGAATTAGTATTACAGCACATTGGAAAGTGGATAGGTCTGGGGATACCTATGTCACCAAGACTTGCTTGTTAGGGGATCAAACAGTGATGCCAAAGCATCAAAAAAAGGAAAGTGTGGACGAGTGATTAATTCTGTCTTTTTTGGTTGTTTCTGCTAACATGAGGATATTTGCATATGCTAACTTTATTTTTCTCTCTTTGGTTTTTTGTGGTTTTTGTTACTAACATGTGCTTAAAATACAAAAAAAAAAAAGAAAAACAAGAAAAACAAATTCACAGTAACTCCAAGATCTCTGAGCTTCTGATCAAATCATTAGGTTTTGAAAAATAACAAAACAGAAAATAGGTCTTAAAGTCATAAATTGAGACATTTGATATAAATAATTAAAAAACCCAGCAGAATGTCAGAGTTGTGCTTTCTCACCAGTTCCCCCGCATCACTGAGGCAGCAGATGTTTCCATCCACTGACCCAATCACAACGTGTCCACTGAAGACATTTGGTGAAGAGAAGAAAGGTTTGTCTCTATAGTAAGACCAGAGGATGGCCCCACTGTCCTGGAGGAGACACAGACATGTGATGATTGTCTACCTGTTCAGGGTTGGATCTAAAATATTTAATAAACCGGCCATCAATAAAACCTTTGCAAAAAGGGTTCAGAGTAGTTCTTATTGGATCTTTATCTATGCATGTTGGGATTTCTGTAACATCATAAAGGCTGTGTGACATCTTACCAGACTGAGACACAGCAGGCGTCCTCCCAGCGATGCTACGTACAGCCGACGGTGAGACGACTGAAGCTGTGGAGAAGAAAACACAGCTCCGCCACTGCAGTGTCGCTTCCACAGACACTGCCGGAGCTAAACAGCACAGAACATCATTCATGTCCATCAATGCTAAGCTTTAGTACAAACGGTGAAAAACACCAGGAAACTTGACATAAAGATTTAAGTTTTTAAATTCTTTAAAGAGTAACAAAGATTTTCATTAAATAGCAAAAAACATAGGATTATTTGTTGTTTTATTTTGTGGAGGACAAAAGCAAAAATAAAAGCTGCAGGTCACTGAAGGACATTTTCTAATATCTGAGGAGCGTCAGCTGTGTGTTTTTGGACTTTTAGAGAAAAAAAAAAGTGTGCAGAAAACAACTTCCAGCAGAAAGGCATCATTCAGGCCTTCAAAGATTCTTTAAATGCTAAATAAGTCCTAAATCAACCTCTTTTTGTGCTTATAAACTGCATAAATATGAACTAAAGTGTGCAATCTTGATGTCACTGTTGAAATTTTGTGTGAAGCTGAATCATTCTGCAACATTTGGCCTGAAACCAGATCAGTAAAATTTTTATTGGTGAAAAAGATACAGCTTGGTGCTTATTTAGTCATTAAAGTCTTCATTATCACCTCCATGGTCATCTTTGCTGCTGTCACTAAAGCCTTCCTCTCATCTCCTGAGGTTTCTCCCACAGCAGCCATTTCCTCTATGGCAGAACCCATTATTTACCCCCTGGCTTCACTAACCTGTGGATCCAAGGCGTAAACGTGCCCATCATGTGAGCCCACCACCACCAGGCCAGTGAATGGATCCACAGCAGGAGAGCTTTTCACTGCGTCCTCCGTCTTAAACACCCACTTGGTCTCTCCAGATTCAGTGGAGAGGAAGTAGACGCAGCCGTCGTAGGAACCTGCAAAGAAACTAGATTGAATGATCCACAAAATAAAGAACGCATCAGTGAGGCGGTCAGAGAACAGATACGGACCCACAATGATGAGGGAGCCGCAGTGAGAAACGGCAGCTGAGGCCTCGATTCGGTCCCCGAGGACTCGCTCCCACACTACGTTCCCACTGAGCATGTCCAACGCCTGGATCCTGTGGGAGTGAGAGCCGATGAACACTGTGGCTCTGGAGCTCTCATCTGCGACGTCCCGGACAAGAATCACCGGGGAGGCGTCCACACACCTGCCCGTGTCTGAGGACCAGCTCAGACTGAGGCAAATATTGAAATCATTGTTCAAGTTGTTTCCTGAATCCGTTCTATCATGCGGTTCTCCACCGGTGTCGATGTTCCTCCTGTTCATTCCTTCCACCTCACCGCCTCGTCTCACAACTTTAAACGGTGTCTTCTCAGACTCCCGTCCTCTCTTTACTGCAACTGCGGTCTGCATGTCAGCGGCCCGTTTCTTAGGAGTGCTGCTCCGGCCCTGCAGCATCTCTGTTACATGGTGCAGAACATCTGAAAAGGAGCGGTCCAATATAACTTCCAAGAGATGTGGAGAGGACACCCCCACCGCAGCAAGGATGTCCTCGCAGAGACGCAGTGCCTTCAGAGAATCCCCTCCACTGAACAGGAATTTGGATCTCTCATCAATGGATACATCAGTGGGAAGATCTAAAGCATCCTGAGGATAAAGGTTGCAGAAAGCCAGCGAATCAAATCTGGATGACTGAGGATTTAAACTGCTGTTTTAAACAAATACCTGCCATAGAGTCCGAATAGTTTTCCTTAATCCTCTGACATCCAGCAATGAAGATCCTAAGCATCCTCTCTGTTTTTCGTATATTTTCATCAGAGCCTTCATGTCTGCTTTGCCTGTTGAAATCCAAAAGATAGAGCCTTCAATAAACGAGTCCCTCTGGACTCCTGGTGTGGCTGCAGAGCAAAAGCTCACCGTGAGGAGTCAGTGATAAAGCCGGGACCAGCACCAGCGTGTCCGGGATGCAGTGAGAGGACACCAGCTTAGACAGCTGCCTCAGGATGAGCCTTCGCAGATCCCCGTCGACTCCATCCGGCTCTCCCGTGTGGAGATGAGCTGCGTCACTACTGACAACGATGAAGGCGAGGAGTCGGAAGCCTTCCCAGAGACCCACAGCACAGGCTTCCACCTGAGGCAGACTCTGGATCAGCTGGAAGAGAAAAATACTCCCAGAATTTAAAACTTTGGGGAGAAAACCACATAGAACCCTCTATGCTGCAATTACAGGTGGAAATATTTCAGGATATGTCTCTATAGACTTTGATTACTTAGAATCTGAGAGTTTGGGTTATTCCTCTGTCCTTGCCTTGTCACTACAAACTATTATTCTCCTGGAGGTGAACTTGTTCCTCAGCATCCTGCAGACTCTAAAGCCGCCTTTCCTCCAGGATTTCCCCGTATTTATCTCTATCTATCCATCAACTGTGACCATATTCTACATCTCTGCTGGAAAAAATAATCCCTTCCCAAACCACGATGCCACCATCACCATGTATCAATAGACTTAGAAAGATTTATTTGTGTGAAACAAAAATACATTTCATTTAGAACAGCTCTCTGGACAATTTCTTTTTTTTTTTTTGAAAGTGCAGCCCTG